CGTCAGGTAGATAACGCGCACGATCACCGGTACGATACATTCGAGCTCCTCCCTTGTTACTGAATGGATCAGGCAAAAAGCGTTCTGCAGTAAGATCAGATCGATTAAGGTAGCCACGAGCTACACCAGCACCGCCAACATACACCTCTCCTTCGGCTCCCAATGGAACTGGTTCACCCTGAGCGTCCAGCAAATAAATCTTTGTGTTGGAACATGGGCGACCGATTGGTATCGAGGCGCTAGAGAAATTTTCTGGACACAACCATGTGGTCGCAACGATCGTTGTCTCAGTTGGACCATAACAATTGAAAACGGGAGTGTGGGTAGAAACAGTTTGTAGCAAAGATAACGAAGGAGCTTCTCCTCCCAAAAGCAATGTTTTCAAACCAGTCAAATGGGTTAGGTTCTGTGTGTTTCGGAATAGTGCCGGTGGTAAAAGCGCATGAGTAATCCTTTCAGCGTTGATGTAATTAAGCAAAGCAGTATCCAATTTGCGTACTTCTTCATTTGGCATGCAGAGACAAGCTCCAGTTGTAATAGACATTACAATTTCCCATATACTGGCATCGAAACAACAAGATGCAAACTGCAAAATTCGAGTGTTGGAATCGACATCTATGAGTTGCGATACACCGTAGACAAGATTGATTATAGCTTGATGCTCAATCATTACTCCTTTCGGAGTTCCAGTAGATCCGGATGTGTAAATCAAATAAGCCATATGCTTTGTATTTAGTCCCAGTTTGTTCGGGTCAGGATTTGCTGTTGAAAAGCCATTCGAAAACGCATGATTCAAATCTACCATCGGTACTTGATGGTCTCCAAGAGCCTTTTGGCCAGTCGCATCAGCTAATAAACACAATGGTTCGGCATCTTCCAAGATACATGTTAGCCGTTGACTCGAGTAGTTGGAATCAAGAGGAACATAGGTTCCGCCTGACTTCATAATTCCCAGAAGAGCAACCAACATTTTTGTACTGCGTTTAACGCAAACTGCGATACGATCATCTGGCTTAACACCTCGTGTGATCAAATAATGTGCAAGTTGGTTTGCTTCGGAGTTGAGTTCATAGTAGCTCAATT